AATAAGAATAGACCAAATGGAAATGTACATCTTAGTAATGCATGTATTGTGGAGTAGCTATTAAGAAATATCAGTTGAAACTCACTGGTTAATTTACAACAGTAGATTTCAAGTTATGTACATTTGTTCTATGAACAGGGGAAATTCTAAAGGTCCCCTTTAATGTATTTCTTGTGGAATTTATTGTTCACTAAACCTCTAAACATACCTGCGTATTGGATAATTGATCAAGTAATTCATTTGCGGTTTTTAAGATTTTGGTTTGTGTTGACACTTTTCACTTTGACAATACATTTTTACATTGTAATCGTTCAATTAAAAAATAAACACTATTTACTTACACAAGCATTCACTTATATTTAGGATATAATGAGAGGAAAATTTAAAACTTCGGACTATATGATTCACAAGCCAACACTGCAGATAATTATGAATATTAATTCAAGTCATGCAAAATGTAACTTTCCTTATTCAATATGTAAAGACACAACAAATATGATTATCCATTTTGATGTCATTTAAGAATACATATGATATTAAGCATTAATAATTCATCAATACAAACATGTGTAGATACTCCCATTATTATTAAAGGTAATTCATAGATTCAGAAATTAATTAAATATTATAGATTAAGACTTACGGCTCATTTGTTGTGATACTGCTCATTAATGTATGAGATTATTTTTGCACTGTGTGTTTACAACTTGACATTTCGGCTTATGATACCTGAGAGAGGAAGGGTCACCCCATGCCTTACCACATTGATCACATACATAGGGCTTCTCACCTGTATGGATGCGTTTATGTTTTGTGAGATCAGCCATATGCTTAAATGCTTTAAGTATGTGTGCGAATTGAGTACCGTAGCTCTTCCTAAGTTATGTAGGCTAGGCCCTAGGTAGGGCAGTCTTTTACGAAACAAAAGTGAATGTTAAACGTTTTTACAATCTATCTGGGTTATCTCTTATGAATCTATATTTTCAATAACATAAATAAATACACTTACGCTACTGATTCTTGAATAACTGAAGGAATATTGCGACGGAAGAAAACTCCAAAGTATCCGAGTCCTGATCCACACACCAGGCGTGCCTACTTCAACATTTTTTTGTTTTCATAGGTTTTTATTCGTTTCTCTCAAAGAAAATTGTACATTTATAAGATAATACATTGGATACAAAATAACAAAATAATTTAACATAGGTCTTTATGAATTTACCAATGATCTTTTACATTTACATACAAAAGTTACACCTCTTCATTTTCCTTTGGAGACACAAAAAAAAAATATATATATAAAAAAGGGAAAAAGCTACAAAACACCTACTACCCCCCCACCCCACACAACATTTAAACACATAACATGTACAACAGTATACAAAAAACACGCTAACATACAACGAGCAAAAAAAAAAAAAAAAAAAAAAAAAAAAAAAAAAAACCCGAAAAAAAACCAAAAAACCAACAAAAAAAAAAGAAGAAAAAAAAAAAAAAAAAAAAAAAAAAGAGAAGAGAGGGAGGGTCAGGAAGTTGTATATTAAGAGAAAAAAAAAAAAAAAAAAAAAACTGAAAACATTTATTCTAAACTTTCCAAAGCTTCCCATTTCCTTAAATGAATTGAAAGTGTGTCTCTTTCCATTGAAAGTTTTTTCTCTTCATTTCTATTTTCCAACAATCTATATTCTATTTCTTTTGCTTTTGGAGGGTTTCCCTTCTCTCTACTGTGGAAAATCTTAGAAAGATATCGATCTCTCTTCAACGAGCTGGATCGATCGATCGTACATAAAAAAAATTATGCAGATGATGTCAACCATTCTCCAATGTACTTTTTGTATGTGTGTGTGTGTGGGGGGGGGGGGGGTCTTCTTTTTTGAAGAAGGGGGCCAATTAACCCTAAGTGCATAATTACTCTCAAGATATCACTCTGTCCCTTGTTACCAAAATGTCCAGTAAAATACTTTTCACGCACCAAAGTCCGGCTCGTACATACACACCAGACTTGGGGGGTGTTTTCAAAATGAGGGAACACGCATATGCTTACCCTAAATAACACTGAGTTGGGAGGGGGCGGATCAACACAAAAAAGTCCCTTTCACGTTGAAGGCTCACATTAGCAAAGATATTACTAGCGCGCAGTGGGGGTGTGGCTATCAGTAAGGATCGCGCCATCACTCGGCTTAATGCTTATAGTCGGCGAATAACAAAATTCAATATAGGGTCCAGAACTAGACTAGGCAGCCTTAGGGCCCTTGGTGGGGACCAGGGGGCAGAGCGTCCGGAAGCTCAGGAAAAAAATACACATGCCATTTCAGCAACATTTACAAATCACTGGTGTTGAATTGCAAATAAAACCACATTTAAATTTGATTAGGGGGGCAACTGCCCCAACCGAGTGAGGAGATTTTAGCATTTTTATTTGTATAAAACGCTGCACACTTTGGCCCTCCAGAGCGTAAACGTTTGTTGCAGTCTTTAGTTAGTATCTGCTTTACACTTTTTTTTTTGCACTTTTTCAAATTTTCCGGGGGGGGGGGGACGACGATCCCCCTAAACAAATTGAGGGGGAACATGTGCCCCCCCCCCCGGATCGCCGCCCCTGCACACACGCATCCATCATATCCACATGCCTACGTACACTACTCCCAAACAAACCCTCTCAGACATCATTTCAATATTAATCCCCGACCGTACAGACTTTCAAAATAATTACTTTGACGGCCATATTTTGTAATCCACTATGTAGGCCTACTGCACATTTAAAATAGGTCCGTTTTTTACAACACACCAATACAATTTTTTCACATTCCTATATGTAAAACACAAGTCAATAAAAAATGCCCAACATGGTTTCATTATTCTGTTGCGATTGTGAATAATTTACTCATTTTCTCTCCTTTTTACACCATTATATTTGCATCATTTCAACCTCGAAACAAGATTGCCTATTGTCTAGACTATTTATATAATTATGTGGTATCGTAACAACTATTGCACATAAGCCTTATATCCTTGTATTTTTACATTTTTAAATGTTAATTTTACCCTTTTTTGGAGATGCTCCCCCCCCCCCCTGGTACTCAAGGGGGGGGGGGGGTGCAATTTTTGGAGGACCAAAACAAAAAAAATAGTGCCAAGTGACACATAAACCACTTTTTCTCAAAATGGAGTTACGTCTTTGTGTCACTGATCCCTCGTATTAAATATGGATAGCATTATGTAACGATGTACGAAATTGAGATGTCAGCATTGCAATATAATAATACATCCTCAATAATACATCTAACTTAAAGTATTATGTTTACTTTACGACGTCACCAAAAACTATTCAATATATACATACACTGCATATATTACAGAAATATCCATTTGTACAAATATGTGTATTGATATGCAATTCATATAAATTGGCAGTTCTTTCAGCTTTATTACTCACCATGTATGTATGAACATAATGTATGATGTACATCTATTCATTTGTTATGTTCATTCTTAAAGGTAAAGACCAGTTTTGGAAATGCCCCCCTCTCAAAAAATGAAATGGAAGCTCTTATTACCAATCATATGAAAGAATATGTTTTGACTAATACGTGATGATACAAATTTTGCAGAGAAACCGCCTATTAGATATTGTGCATGTGTTGCGTAGTCCCATATACATCTTTCTGTGTACAGTGCTTATAACTTTACCAAGAGTGAGCCAATTTTATTTTATCATTTTGATGATTCCAGAACCTTGCAGTACACACCAACACTTATATTCTAGATGATCAACCTTTCCTGATCGATTCCACACTGTTTCTTTTACAATGCAATCGCATGACCAGAACTCAACTTTATCTTGAAGTATTCAGTGCAAGTCACAAGAAGAATCACACTTTTTGAATTACGGTGTACATGTACCTCAATTAAGTAAATGGTAACTATCATTCATTCGGGGGGGGGGGGCGCCCTTGATGTCGAGCTAAGTTGCAGGGTTTTTTTTATGGAGCTCCAGTTTAAAAGATGAAATTTCGGAAATAATTTTTTTTATAAATAGTGTGACACTTCAACTAAGGATTGGTAAGAATAAACTTAAAAGACAACGTCAAGCCACTTCCGAGGAAAAAAACGAAGAAGAAGCTGAAGAAATGGATTCTACCAACAAGACTGCCACGCCCAAATCATCGAGAGACCCGGAAAGTACGGTACGTACTAGTAAACCTACACACGGTACCAGTAGCGACTCGATGTTACGTAACATTCTGGAAAAGGTCTCTGTCTTAGATGAGATTAATATTAAAATTGACGCTATATCTGAGAGAATGAGTAAAATCGAGACCAAGTTTGAGAGAATGAATACGAGAATTCAAGATTTGGAGAATGCAACTGAGTATATGGAATCAGAAATGGGAGAAATCAACTATCATTCACTCATTCATTCGTTTCGGTTTATTGTGTCAAAATTCCAAACCCTTACCTTATCAATCTGTTTATCCTATGCAAATAGGACATATGGAACCATGAATATGGTACCAAAAAAGTATCCCACTTTACTATGACTGAGGGCAATTATGTGCATAATGTCCCTTACATGTATTTTTGACAATTTTAACAAAATCGAAAATACAGTTGAACTTAACTATTCAAACCCTTACCAATTTTTAAAATGTTTGCTAAAGTCTTTGGAAAAATTGATTTGTCCCGATTCGTGTTTCTTCAGAATGTAACATATTACAGCTTATATCTACAAGTAAGCAACAAAGGTTCTAATTCAACCGGTCCACCCTTCATTCTTTAGTTATGAAAAGTAAAAAGAAAGAAAACAAAAACAGTAAATTTATAAGGGGAATGAATAACTTAGTTGTTAACTCGATGGCTCGAATTCACAAAGGAGGTTTATTGAAAAACCTAGGTTTATGTGCGTCATGATACGACGCGTATCGATGCATTTCAGACCAAGGTTCAGACAAACCTTGGTCTGAAACTTGTCGAAAACGTCATATGACGCAAATAAACCTCCTTTGTGAATTGGGGCCTATATATCATTAAAAGATTAATCAATGTGGTGAAACCAGGGGAAAAAAACATTATAACAGAAATTTCATGTTTGGATGAAATTCAAGGATAAATGTAGTAAATGCAAGTCGAACTTGACACCATTATTAGTTAGAATGTGCAATGTAATACAGTGGAACCTAAGAACAAGAGATCTGACATAACGAGGTTTCTATTATAAATAAGAAGGTGATTTGGCTGGTCCAAGCTCTGATGTAACAAGGTACCGTAATTGGCATGGTCCCTTTTTATAAAGAGGTTCCACTGTAGTACAACACAAAACATTTCTTTTTCCTGCAAAAATCTGCTCGAACCTTGCCCGCTGGTCAATGTTAAACTGCCAAGTTTGTGTGCTCTTGTTTACTGTAGCATTGCCAAAGCCTTGTGAACACTTCCTTGATAGTAAAACTGTTTAATCACCAACTGTCCAGTGTGTTGCATGCATGACTGATTCTACATACATTGTTCTATTTTCCATTTGCCAGTCTTTTGATCTGGCACATTATTGCAAGAGCATCACCGCGGATAGAGATGTAGCTTAATATGTGTAGATGTAAATTTAATGTAGCTATCAATTTATTTCCCGATAGCACCCTAAAAAAAGTAGTTCTTCATGAATAAATTTATTGGTATAGTTATCCTCTATTGAGAACTTGTGTGAGTAAGCAGATGTCGTGCCAGATGACCACTGCGGTAGAACTTCCTATCGCAGACCTCACACTGGTGCTTCCTGTCTCCTGAGTGAGACACCATGTGACGCGACAGGGAGCTTCCGTGGTTGAAAGAACTGCCACAAACCTCACAACAGTAGGCTTTCTGGCCTTTATGGCTTGCCGTGTGGCAGATCAGCTGTCGTCGCTCGCGAAAGCTCTCGTCACATTTCTCGCACTTGTAAGGCTTCTCTCCAGTGTGACAACGGCGGTGGCGATTAAGACCTCCTCTCTGGCAGAACGATTTATCGCAGAACTCGCATTTGAAGGGCTGGTACCGTGAGTGGGTCAGCATGTGCTGGGCTATTTGGGTACTCTGGTAGAAAGTCTTCTCGCAGATGCCACATTTGTAAGGCAGAATCTCCGAGTGGCTTTGGAGGTGAATCTTCAGCGCCTTTCGATCACTGAAGATTTTGTCACATTTCTTGCACTGGTGGATGCTTTCAAGAGATTGTCCAACAAAAGCCTTTCTATGATGAGATCTTTTGTTCCGTCTTTTGGCAAGTGCAGCAACATGCTTTTTCATATGGCGTCTTAGACTTGTGTTGCGGGAGAAGGATTTATCACAGAGAGAGCAATGGAACCGATGTCCTTGACCATGTGCTCTAAAGTGAACTGTCAAGTGGCTCTCTTTGGTAAATGTCTTGTCGCAAATCCCACACTGATGAAACTTGTCTTCTGTATCGATGGGATCATGCCTGCTAATCTCTTTGGATGCGCCTTCTACAATGCCTTGGGAAAGATCTCCATCTTGATGTGTCTCCACATGCTTCACCAAAAGTGCTTCAGTCACAAAAGCATCGTTGCAAACATCGCATTTATACCTTCGCCCGTTCTTTTTTAATTTTGACGCTGCATCTACAAGATTCACTTTCCTAGAGGGGTCCTCTCGTGGTACATCAGGATGGACTTTCATGTGCCTTGTCAAGCTGCTGTTTGTAGTGAAGGACCGATCGCAGAGGGCACACTGAAACCTTTCTCTTAGGTGGGACCTCAAATGGAGCTTCAGCTGACTCTCATTGGACAATGTCTTATCACACATACCACACTGGTACAAGTGATCCTTGATTGGCTTGCTTTGAGTTATTGAACCTACATTCTCACCAGGTTGATGCTTCTCTGGTGTTTCATTTTTGTGAGTTCTTACATGCTTCAGGAAAATGTTTTCCTCCAAGTAGGACTTATGGCACACATTGCAACGATACACATGATTTACTGGACGAGTTGCTTTGGTTCTCCCTTTCTGTTCTTTACTGTTCCTCAGCTGGAGTCCTTTTGCTTGGGGATGTTTCTTGAGGTGACGCGTAAGGCTACTTGTCGTGGCGAAGGACCTTTCACAGAAATGGCACTGGAAACGTTGGCCAGGCATGTGAGACCGGAGGTGGAAGGTCAACTGGCTTTCTTGTGCAAAAGTCTTATCACAAACCCCGCATTTATGTGACTTGTCCACAGCGTGAAAGGTTTCCATGTGCTGTCTGAGAATCGCGCTGCTGGGAAACGTCTGCTCACACATCCCGCAACGATGTACAGGCTCCTGCCTCTTGTGGTTGTCGATATGGCTTGCGAGAAGTGCCTCACTGCTGAATGATTTATCACAAATATCACAGTGGTATGTTTCACCGTCAATGTGACCCTTATTATCATCTACCCTGTGTTTCTTGTCAGACATCAGGTCGCCTGTAGCACCATGCATCTTCATATGACGAACCAGACTAGCACTCCTTGTGAACACTCTATCACAGACCATGCACCTGTTGCGTCCACTTCGATGAGTCTTCAGGTGGAAAATCAGCTGACTTTGCTGTGTAAAAGTCTTCTCACATATACCACATTGGTGGAACTGCTCTACATTGTGCTGGGAATCTTTGTGCCTGTTCAAGGTTCTGATGTCTCTGAAATTGTCACCACACTCATCACAAGGATGCATCTCTACGTTATCCTCTGCGTGAGTTGTGGCATGAATGATGAGGTTGGACTCGTCTCTGAAGAGTTCATCACATACCTCACAGCGATACAAGTGTTCTGATGCATGAGACATAACATGCAGAGAATATGACACCTCTGTGGTAAAGGACTTGTTGCACTTCTCGCAACGAAAAACCTGATGGCCGTCATGGGTAGCAAAGTGACTCAAAAGACTTTTCTGGTCAACGAAAGTTACATCACAAATATCACAGCATAGCACTTGTTCTTCTCCTTGGTCAACAAACTGTGCCACCTGACTGGGAACCTTAGTTCTTTTCTGCCTGTGAATTCTCAAATGACGAGTCAACCTACTCTTGTCTCTGAACCGCCTCTTGCAAATGCCACAAGGATATGGCAACTCTCCTGTATGGCTCCGACTGTGATAATTAAGAGCATTGCGAGACCGAAACTTCTTGTCACAAAGGTCACATGAATACGGCTTCTCTCCAGTATGTATGCGCATGTGTCGGGTAAGGTCGCTATTTTTCCTGAAAGCTTTCTCACAAACAGCGCAGGAGAATGGCTGGTATCCTGTGTGGATGCGCTTATGCACGGTCAGGTTGCTTCGGTTGCTGAACATCTTCCCGCAGACATCACAACCAAAGACCTTCTCTCCAGTGTGGTACTTTTTGTAATGTGACAGAGATTTGTTCAATTTCTTTTTCTTCTTCTTAAGTTTCTTTTTGCAGGGGGTGTATCGTAGGACTGTGTCCGTAGGGGGCACATCTTCATCACCTTGTTTCGTAGTCTCTTCCTGTTCTACCACAAGAACAGTATTTTTATTGTTCTCATCTTGCCGACCCTCTCCATCTACAAGATTCTGAACAAGCAAACATTTCTTTCCAATGTAGTCACTTCCCATCGATGATGTGGCCTCCCCCGTGTCAGTAGCATGTATTCCTCCATCTTGCAAATGAAGTCCACTTACTTCTGATTCCTCTGCATGAGCAGTGTCACTAGCCTCATTTGTGTTTTGTTTCAAGAGTCCAGGCTGAACATTGGACATACATGTAAGTGATTCCCTTCCTTCACCAGTACCTCTAACATATGACTGGTCATGTGACATATCAGGTGATACGTGTAGCTCTTCGGCATGACTTCCTCCCTCATAAGTATGAGTGCCGTGTTGGTGACTTTCGACGGGTACAGTGTCTGTGGCACCAACATGACTATGTCCATTTCCAACTTCAGCATACAGGTTTTGTGATAAAAGGGAAAGCCTTTCACCTTCTGGGTCATGTGACAGACCATGTGATATTTCAGGTGATGGGATCTCCTCACCAGAAGGCATTGTGATGTCACCGACCCATCCCTCTCCATCCAGTGGTTCACAGTCCATACTGGAATCACCCCTCTGTTCAGTAGATGTCTCGCCTGTTGGGTCTCCTTCCCCTCCTAGAAAAATAGGCACAGACATAGCCAAATATTACACAACAACTGATGTTGTAGTTAACTTGTGATTGTGAAAACTGGAGCTTTGAAAAAAGAGGATTAAATTTATTTACCCAGAATCAATTCCTGAATTAAACCCCTGTCTGTCCCATTTTTGCCCATGCATTAATTGCAATAGTCGTATCACAATTCTCTTCTAATTTTGGTAGGAATAACAATAATATTATCATTTTGACTCTTTATGAGTGATTGCCAAAATTAATCATGCATGATCTTTTATCTTTACTTACATCTATTTTTTTTTCATTTCTCATTAGGCAAATATGTGAATTTCAGCAAGTTGTCAAAGTTTCATTTACAAATAACATGTAAAAGAAATATATACGGTATGTAAATTCTCTGTTTTATCTTATAACAAATCTGATAATCAAACCTCATTCATAAGTGGTCATGAAAGTTAATAGCAAACTTGCTGAGATTACCAAAAAAATCCCCCATCGACAAAAAAAAGAAAAGTTTTGTGCTGGGTCCTGTTTCACTAAAGTTATGATTTAAATGTTATAATCTACAAAATCGTAGCATTTGATTGGCCGAGGAGAAAATTTGACATATTTGCTGTAGGATTAATTTATACCTGTGTTGAAAGGGTTGTCATGGAGCTAATTAAGACCAGAAATGTGTTATTTTGAAAAGCCATTGTGTTGCACAAAGCAATCCTTCTCTAAATTCATGCCTTTTAGTTTGTGTGTGTGGGGGGGGGGGGGGTTTGTGGCAGAGGTAATTGCATGTTTAGTCAAGGGGCGACTGTGCAGAAAGGCAAAGAAAGCGACAAAGATGTAAAGTGGGTGGGCCGGCAGTTTCCATGGGCAGAAAGTCATAACTTGCAGACTTGATAGAACAACTATTTATAATAATGGTGTACAAGTCTGCACACAGCAAACTCGTAATCAACTCAATAGATACCCCTTGTCTCTGAGGACCTTACTGTATGGGAAGAGCAAAGCATTACATAAAGCTTGTTGGTCATAAAACTGAAGAGTAATCTTGGTGATTGACAACACCCGTTATTGGCATGAGTCTCGACTATTATGTGTCTTTAAACATTAAAAGTGGTAAAAATACTCACCAATCAATTCTTCAATATTATGGCTGAATGACATTGAAACATTCTCATTACACACATGGCCACATCCATCTCTTGAGCCCTCCATCATTTTAATACGTGGTACTTGGTTGAGTAATCCCTTTAGCAGCTCACTCAGGAAGCTATTCTGGGATGGTAGGTGAGGCAAGTAGCTGCAATAAGTGCCATGAAGTGCAGAAATGGTGTGAGGACAAAGCACTTGTCAAATTACAGTAGAATACCATCTGCCAAAAATAAAACAGAAGGAATTTTTCACTTTAAGCCCATCTGCACTAGCTTGGCCAGGGGGGATTAGACCTCCCTGCAAGGTAACTGACAGGTGATTACCTCATTAAATCAGCTCTCAATTAGGAGGAAAAGAGGAAAAGAGGAAAAGAGGAAAAGAGAATCATGGGGGACCAACAGGCACTGATTAGGTATTGGTTGCTATATAGAGGGCGCAAGTAGCTACATGTACATGTTTAAGTGGTGCACTGGGGCTTTAAATTCAAAGGCATATGACTTAGCATGAATTGTAGAATACTGTAGAGTGAATTTAGTGAAACCTCAACATACTGTACAAATGAAAATGATGAATGAGAGTTGAGAGACAAAAACTGTCAGCTATGCCACTTACATGTAGAAATATTTTTTTTTTAAATGAACAACAGCAAGCAAAGAACAAATTTTTAAAAAATAAAAAAGTTAACTGTCATGTGCTGAAACCGGTTAAACTATTTGTAAGATTTAGAATTAGGCTCCTTCCATATGTATTTGTTACAATTACTATTTGTTTCTCTAGTCTCTTCTCTCTATACATATTCATTTCACATCATTTGCTTATTAACTTACATCATTTACTTCAACTACTCAACGCAGTTCCTTCCTCCATTCCTCTCCTCTACATACCAAGTCTTCCATCTCACCTGGTATGTTCCTTAATTGTTCTCTTCTCATTCTTTATTCATGGTTCTTGTGTGAATGCATTAGGTATTTTGATCTTCTTCTTACATGCATTGTATTGGTTCTCTTCTCCGTTTCCCTATTCATTTTTCAGTTTTACTCTTAAATCCTATCTTGCAATTGGTTTGTGATATATTCCATTTGTATATAGACCTACTTTGCTTTAAAATATTCAGTACAATGCTGCATAGCAGCCTACAATTAAGACAGTCAGACCTGCACTGGACATATTCTGAGTCAGTTGTATTGATGTAGGGCTCTGCTACTTTTATTCTGGAGATTTTAATAGGAGAGGATATATTTGAGTTTGGCAGTGGTTTTTGGATGATTGGTGTTTTAAGTATAAATATATATTTTGAATTTGAATTTGAATTTATTAACAACAACACATCACAATAATGACAGTACATATGAACAATCATACAATGCAAAAAATAATACTGATACATGTATACATAACATAAGAGTAATGTCGATTGAACAGTATTGGTTTTAAAACGATATTTTTTAGACATACATCTGCATACTATTAAATGTACAAAAGATATATACATGTATGTATGTATATTACTATGTTTAGGTGAAGTTGTTAATGGGAACTAGAAGTTAGCACAAGTGCTAGTCGAGCCTAGTTCCATTGATGAGAAGGTATTTGTATTACTTTACACTATAATCGGATTACAGGTATTTTACTTTACACCTTGCTTTTGCATAACATGTTCAGCAGGATTTAAAGATCGTCCAAGAATGAGGATCTTCCACAAAAACAAGGATATCCTTGCAAACGCGGATAGAGTCTACATTAAGTCCTAGAAAAAGTAAGGATCGTTCACATTTTCGCAGGCGTTTTTTTCATCGGCGCTCTGCAGGTTTTCGGGTTCCCGAACCACGTGCTGGCGATGCGAAAAAAGGGATTCTGCGTAAAAAAATACCTCAAGTTCACCATTTACTTTCATCTGTTGTCCTTCTTCCCGAGGATTTATTGCTCATATTGTGAAAGTCTCTGTTCAAATTCATAGTGAAATGCATCAAGAAAATCATTGTGGAATCCGTTTTTCGCATCGCCAACGACAACGCCTGGATCGAAAATAAGAAATGACGATCCTTATTTTTGCGGGCACGTCTATCCGCGTTTACGAGGCCGATCCTCGTTTATGCAAACGATCCTTATTCTCAACCAGCGCCCCTTACTGATGATTAATAATATCTATATTTTTTTTAATTAAGAAGGGGGTGGGGGGGGGGGGGGAAGATGGTCAACCTCTCAGTCTCACTATTCTCAGGCAATTGGAAAGCAAAATCATAAAAAAGTCACCAACAAGAACTGAGTACAAGAGTCAAGACCCCGATTTTCAAGTATCAACATGACCGAGCACATGAAGAATTTTAAACAAAAGGTGGAATGACCGCTCCAATTTCATGGCTCAATGTGCTCCCTTGCAAATCTATCTAGCTGCGAGCTGCGAGATCAGTGCGCTCGGTTATGAATCAGCTCAGAAATTACACACATCAATAAACGTAGGTGGGACCACAATAAATAGTTTGTTTTGTTGTAATTAAAAGAATGCGATAAAAGATTAATTGTGACTTCTATCGCATCTAAATGGAAGATTAAATCGAAAGTGTCTTTATTTACAATGGATACACCAAACATTCACACTAAAGATGGACTTGAACACGTTAAATAAGCTCACTTACGCGATTTCTGCTGTTGTATAGATGTTCACCTCAAATGACCTTTCGAATTAGTCTAAGATTCAGGCGGTAACATCATTATTATAGACTAATTTAACAATAGTATGGGAAGAAGAAGAAGAAGAAGAAGAAGAAGAAGAAGAAGAAGAAGAAGAAGAAGAAGAAGAAGAAGAAGAAGAAGAAGAAGAAGAAGAAGAAGAAGAAGAAGAAGAAGAAGAAGAAGAAGAAGAAGAAGAAGAAGAAGAAGAAGAAGAAGAAGAAGAAGAAGAAGAAGAAGAAGAAGAAGAAGAAGGAGGAGGAGGAGGAGGAGGAGGAGGAGGAGGAGGAGAAGAAGAAGAAGAAGAAGAAGAAGAAGAAGAAGAAGAAGAAGAAGAAGAATGAGGAGGATGAGGGGGAGGAGGAGAAGAAGGAGTAGAAGAGTGCGACCCCCCCCCCCCCCTCCAACATGTTATTTCTCTCTCTCCATCCCGCTCACTCACTTGCCTCTCTCTCTCTCTCTCTCTCTCTCTCTCTCTCTCTCTCTCTCAGTACTTTCCCTAGATTCCTCTCTCGATCTCTCCACAGCTCACCCTCTCCTTTTTTGTTTTCTATCCCTTTCATGCGTCTCTGACTTCTACACTCACTCCTAATCATCATCTTCCAAGTATCTCTCTCACGTCCCTCCTCTTTCTCTCTCCACCTCCTTCCCCTGTTTCTACCTCCTCCACCTATTTCTCTCTCTCTCTCTACCTCCCCTTACCCCCTCTCTCTCACCCCCCCCCCCCCCTCCCCATTCTCTCTCTCTCTCTCTCTCTATTTTATGTTTTTCATTTTCAACCATATAATTCTTACCAGTAGCTAATATTTATCATTTGAAATCAAAGAAAACTAATTAATTACACTTCTGACATCTTGTTATTCCTTTCTTTATTTATTCATTTTCTACATGTGTAGTAAGCAAGGTTAGTTTAAATTAATAATGGAGTTTGCTTGCCAACATGTATGCTCCGGTTTCACCGTACTAATATACGTACAAGGTACTCATTCATACCTGGGCCCTGTTTCATGAAACTTGTTATCCATAACAAGTTACAATAACTGTTATAAGCTACTGAAAAAGTGGCAGTTGGTTGGCTGAGAGAAAATTTGCCATAGAAATTTAGCATTTATTATTCATAACAAGTTTTATGAAACAGGCCCCATCAGGGATGATCAGCATAGCTAAAATAAAGCCGATGAGACAACCTCATGACTATATTTCTAAATAAATATTAAACATATTTAAGAAAGAGAAACGGTGGGTGAAGAGGGCTTACATAATCTGTAACAATCTCAGAAAAATATATTTCTACAGAAAATTTTGAATATGTTCACAGGCTCTATTGCACAATGTTATTAAAAGCATAGGATTGGTAAATAAGGTACATTTGTTCTGCCAATAATACAGATCATCAATTTGTGATTTGTATTAATACAGAATTACCCAAACTTGTATAATTTCATTTTTTCTCAATATATGTGGAAGAGGGCTACATGTATCTCTCAAAGAGTTGAAATTGTTCCACTTATGACTGAAACAAAAGTTGGTTTGATTAAATTTTGGTATAAATTGAAACTCACAAGTAGGAAATAAATGTATTAACCAAGATGGAATTGAGAGGACTGCCATAAATTTAGAAGTTTGGATCAACTACATTTTTATCTCTTTATACAACAGTAGAAAAATACCATACCATAAATCTTCAATGGGTAACCATTTGAAAAGTTCATAATAAAACTCTAAAATACCCTGAAAAAGAATGTCAACTTCATTACATTGTTCTATGTATGCTTTTCATGATATAAATTCATTGTATTTGTAATAATAACAGATCAACATACAATACAAGTGTTACCAATCTAGGGGGGGGGGGGGGGGGGGGGGTTAAAAAGCAGATCAAATCAGCATTCCTGTCTGGTATGGTTTTAATGTTCCTCATGATGGTGCATTCAATCCAGTATGTTTTTACAAATATTACAATACATGTACAGATATAGAAAGAAAATACAGAAAAGAAGACAGTTCCAACAGAACCAACAAAATGGCAAGATACATTAAGGCCCGGTCACACAGCCTTTCGTGTCTGTATCGCGGGTAAAATTTCGCGATTTTTTGTTTTGCCCGCGGTTGCCCGTGGTGGAAAATGTGCAAAATTGGCTTACCCGCGGTTTACCCGTGGTATGCCCGCGGAACAGACGCCGGCGACTGTTCCGCGTCCTTATCGCGGGTGGAGCGCGGCGGTACCGCGGCCTACCACGCTTACACGCGATACACACGCTAATGCACGTGATAACAACGCGGTACAGACGCGGAACAAACGTGCTTTGACCGTGCTCCACCCGCGATTACCCGCTAAAATTTTGCGTCCAATTCCGCGTGTAACCACGTCTTAACCGCGGCCGTAGCACGTCCTAGCACGTTCGTTCCGCGTCTGTACCGCGTGTGTACCACGTGTGTACCACGTGTACCGCCCGCGATTACCCGCGGTCTAAATTTTTGGGCAGCCCAAAACTGTTTCGCGCGGCCAACCGCGTGTGAATTTCTTACCGCGTGTAACGACGGGTAAAGTACGGCTGTATCGCGTCTTTATCGCGACCTCAAAGCATCCAACAGCGTCTGCTTCACGGGCAGAAATTTTTGGCCGTGATTCGGCCGCGATACGCCCGTGGAGGGCTGTGTGACCGGGCCTTTACTGAAGATTAAAAATTGTTGGTATGGTGTAATTTAAAACAAATCTGTTAAAGAGCCTATGAGATCAACATCGTCAGTCAGCCTTGTGAGCCATCTACAAATACCCAAACTACATATGTGCCTTAAAGCCCCACTGCACTATTTGAAGCTACTTGCTCCCTCCATATAGAAAACAATACCTAAGTGGTGCCTGTTGGTCCCACATGATCCTCTTTTTCTTATGTTAATTGAGAGCCGAGTTGATGAGATAACCTGTCAGTGACTACGCTGGGTGGTATTATCCCTCCTGGCTTAACTAGCACAGACAGGCTTTAAAGTGATACAGAACTTATTAACTTCCTGCCCTATCGTACTGTTTATCCCCTAGTGCCATCTCATGGTCAACTTGCCAACAGTGCGTAAACCATTAGAAACTCCCATTTTGCAGACAGAGGACTTGATGCGAGATCCAACAGCACAGGGAGGGAAGCAGCGAGTTACAGGACGATACTGCTACAGCTGACCTGAGATGATGCTGCAGGGGATTTTTTTTTGCTCCTAATACAGTGTGGATTTAATGTGTGTGGAATCATTTTTAAATTGATGCAATAATATTCTACATGCTTTTGAGAGTCAATGCTAGGATATTTCAAGAATAGCCCAAACTCACAAAAAATACATGTACACTATAGTATATATCTTAGCTCTGGAGTATACAATTTCCTGAGGAATTCCGAATTAGGGAGGGGGAAAGGGGGATAGAAAAGGAGCTAGAGCTACTGACTAAGATGTTCAATTGAAGAGGGATGGGAGCAGGGGGGGGGGGGGAAGGACTAAATGCATGATTTTTTTTCATTGTACGAAAAAGGGATGGGTAGCAAGCTAAAGGAAGGATGTTACAATATATACATGTAATTCTCTTTTAGAGAGGGGGGGGGGGGGGGAAGGAGATTCAGAACTAACATGCATTGGAAAGGGGGTAATCGGTAACAAAAATAATGGGCACAGTTTTCAAGTGCTGGAAAATGTAGATTTTCAATTGCTGTCTTCAGCATGTAGTTTCATGTGGGTAGAATAGCTGTTCCTGTCCTTAAATTTCTTGCCACATACATCGCACCTGAGCTGGAGCTCTCCCGTGTGTGTCCTCATATGACCAACAAGTGTGCTACTCTGTGTGAATGCCTTGTCGCACATGCTGCAATGGTATGGCCTGTCCCCGGTGTGAATGCGAAAATGCGTGTTCATGTGGTCCTTGGTGCTGAAGCGCTTGCCACACACGGTGCATTCAAACGGTTGGTCTCCGCTATGGGTGCGAACGTGCCTACGAAGGTTGCTCTTATCCCGGAAGTTTTTGCCACAGAGCTCGCAACTAAAGGGCTGCTCGCCCGAATGGATACGTTTATGAACCGTGAGCGCGCTGTTCTGTGTGAAGGATTTATCGCAAAGGTCGCATTGGAAAGGTTTTTCCCCACTGTGTGTCCTCATATGGCAAACGAGGGTGTTGCCTTTACCGAAGGTCCGGTCGCAGATGTGACACTGGTGTGGAGGCTGCCCAGCATGTATGCGTTTATGTACCCTCAGCTTGCCTTGTGTTTTGAAAGTCTTGTCGCACTCGTCACACTCGTGCATCTTGACTTCGACGTGACTCAGTAAGTGTAGGCTAAGACCTGAGCGACTGCTGAAGGATTGCTCACATCGATCACATTGGTGAATGGCCCGGACTACATCCCCTGAGACATTGACACTCTCGCCTTGGTCCATTCGTCCTGCACATTCCCTACATACGAGTCGCTTCGTACCATCGCCATTGTCCTCAGTTAGTGGTCTCTGACACACCTTGCACTGGTAGGATTCCTGGTTATGAGATTTACCTGAGGACTCTCCATCGAGAAGAGGCTGCTTTGTCCCTGAGACACCCACCTTACATCGATGGCTGTTGAGACTTGCATGAGAAACATATTCCTTACACAAGGCACACTGCTGCCCAGGAGGCAACGCCCTCTCAAGGACAAGATCACCACCAGCAGAAGCAGAAGCGACAAAGGCTTCCCCCACCACCAGGTTCTCCACCACCAAACATCTCTTCTTCAATAGATCATTTTCAACAGATTTTTCAGTCCTCTTTACGAGAGGCATTTTTCTAGAACAGTGTTTCTTTTTGCTTGATATAGATGCTCCGACCCTCTCTTTGCTATGGAAGCCGCTTGGTTGGCTCCGGTGCCCATGTGGGGCAGGATTAAGAAAGTTGTCTGCATCTGTAGAGCCACCAGATAGCATCCCCTTTGTCGCTCTACTGCTGGAGGACGCCTCTGCACTAACATTCACATCAGCGCCTGAAAATATAAAGATTTTGGATTATTAGCAGTGTGGTTTAAAGGGATCCAGTATTAAACTTTGTCTCAGATTCTGATACAAAATCCTGGATTTTGATCATGCTGCAATGATAATTATAAACCTTTAGATCAGTCAGGAACCCCATGAATTTTACAAGTCGATCACCTGTCTGATTATTAAGATATTTATGATTGGAAATCGAATCCAAATTTTGTGTTTGCGTTTTCATAACACAGTCTATCAAGGAAAACGAGTATGGTAAAACTTTTTTTTTGGAGGCACTTCTTGATCATTTTGAAGCGCGATTTTTTTTTTAGGGCATCAATATTACACCAAATCACAGACACTGAAATCACGTAGGGCCGTGCGTCTCAGATTATACATTGTTAAACGATGCCTTTAATACTTTCTTTGCCTCTCTGCATGATTGCTCATTTGCCACACATGCATTTTGCACAACACAATAAGCTTCAATCGAGGGATAGATAGCTCTGTGCAACACAATGGTTTTCCAAAATAACACTTTTTATTTCAGATCTTGTTCAACTCCATGACTACACTCTACAGTATCTTAATGTTCCACTGGAAAATGTTGAATTATTTTGAAGCATGTATTTGGTAATAAATGACTATCTCATGATTAATACATTGTGGCATGGGGAGATTATTTGGCGGTATGCAGTGATAGTTAATAATTTGATGTTGAATTTAAATATTTCTCGCTGTACACAAATTACAAGAGGCAAATGAATTCCCTAATGTACATACATGTACATGTAGTCTTGAACAGTTGCCTTAAGCATGATATCACATTGACTATTGAATTCTCTGATCTTCATAGGCTTAATATAGGGACAACACGGTTCACGTAAGCAATGAGTTGAAAAGACTGGTGACTTTGCGTACAATAACATTACCATGCAACAATTAAAATGTACCTACCAAGAAGGAAGGAGTCTTTATCAGGTACTAAACTTGATGCTTCCTTGGATTCGTTCACAGTTCGCAACTTGTTCACAATTTTGTCAAGTCTTGGAATTCTCAATTTTCTGTGTGTGTAGCTAGATTGCAAGATCTGATCTCTGGCCACTCCAGAGCTTTGGCCCTGAAAATGTGTTGCTTTGGTTCTGACCTTGGGTATCTTCAGCAGGGGACTGTCAACAGTGTCCCTTTGCAGGTGGTGATTTAGATCTCCCTCAAGGTCTTTATCTTTATCTTGACGGTGCCCTTTGGCTTTGGCTGACCTGTGCGGAGGACAGCTGGGAACCTCCCCTTGAACTAGAGGATCGTTTCTATGATACTGCACCTGACCAAACTTGTCCCTTTGGACATGCTGCTTACGTCTGTTTGTTGTTAGTGTCTTGTGGAGAGGGCGGTGGGGAATCTCTTCTTGAAGTGGTGGGTGCTTTCGATGAATCTCTTCCCCCCAGCCTTCCAGATTAGTCTCTTGTTTGATGTTGAGCGTTGTATGCAGGGGGCTGTCTGGGACTTCATTGATGTCATTTTGTTCTTCACCCCAGCCTTCCAGATTAGTCTCTTGTTTGATGTAGAGCGTTGTATGCAAGGGGCTGTCTGGAACTTCATCAACGTCATTTTGTTCTTCAACCCAACCTTCCAGATCTTTCTCTTGTTTGATGTTGAGCGTTGTATGCAAGGGGCTGTCTGGAACTCCATAGCGGTCATTTTGTTTTTCACCCCAGCCTTCCAGATTATTTTCTTGTTTGATAGTGAGCGTTGTATGCAAGGGGCTGTCTGTAACTTCATCAAGGCCATTTTGTTGATCTTCAAAATGTTTTGATCCTTTGCTGTCAAGCATTCCATGTTTGAGGCTGCCTAGGTGATCCTTTCGCTGCGGGGGCTGGGTAAGGTCCAGTGCTTCAGTAAGCTCATCCCCATGCTGTGTGCCTGTGGCAGGGCTAGACTTGTTGACTGAACACCTGTAAGAAATGTCACAAAGAAAAGGGCATTCTAGAAATTAAATATCTATGAATGAAATAAGAGACCCAATGAAAGAATATATATACATGTACGTGTGCGATAGATTAGTGAAATGTAGTGACATGAGAAGAATGGAAATGGTACCAGTAATTAATATTCATGAAAGTTCTCAGTTTTCACTTACTACTTAACATACATGTATGTCAATAAAGGTATTTTGAAAGTTAAGCTCGAAGATCGTGTGCAACAGATATGCTCTTAAATACAGCTGAAATAATTGCTTTATTCTGACGTGTACATTATTAAGTTTCTTGAACTTGAACTTTATTGGAACAACTTTAGGTCTTGTGGAGGCAAAATAAAGGCTTAAATGAGGACCAAAAAAAAAAGGAATAGGTGTAACCTCACTAGTCATTAGGACCGCTATTCATAACACATAACTTCCAATATGTGAAGGTAAGGGGGTCACTATTCAAATTGAGGGTCATTACTTACAAGGGTCGCTATTCATAATACGCACAGTATACAGTGTACATATGTTTTGTATTATAAATAGCGGCCCTCTTTTTAGATTTATAAATAATGACCCTTTTCTCAAATCATGAGTAGCAGTCCTTATGAATAGTGGTCCATAAAAATAGTGAGCAGAGGCCAAACAACATGAATATAAAAAGTACATTTAAAAATTACAACCTAATCTACGAAGTAAACAATTGTCTGTAATTATAGAAATAAGGGAGAAGCATACTGAAATATATTTCTCACCTAATTCGTGCTCTGTCAGCATTGAAAGTCCATTTGTTTTTGGCAAGTGACTCTTCTGCGCCGTGAAGCACAGGAGCAGCAACATCGTTGTCATCGGGGTTCTGCGCCGACATTGTATCATCCGTCTTGTGTTTGTTGTTTTCTATTTACAACAGGCACATGTAACATTTACACTGAAAATAAAGAAAGGGAAAGAAAGTAAATTAACACTGAAAAAAATACTAATAACACCTAAAAACAAACAACAAAACAATGTGTTAAATCCATTTATTGACACCTACATGTAGGCCTACTTAAATGCTACAGGAATAAATGGTATAAAGCCATCAATTAGTCTTTGCTTGTCATGAAAACATTATAATTATTATTTCATTTTTTCATTTTTTATTTTATTTATTTATTTATTTATTTATTTATTTCATTTTTTTTTTTTTGGGGGGGGGGGGGGGGTAAGCGCAGTGTATGCACGATTTGCTTGTCACATAGAACTTTAGCGAATACATTTAGCACATCCACAGAACTTTCATCCAATCAGCGAATTGCAATCTCATTTTACAAAATTGGCGCCAACAAGGGCACTTCTTATTGGCTATCACTGTCTTCCAGTCACTCAATGTCATAAGATAATACCATATTTGCCGGCGTAAAGGCCGCAGTATTTTTGGAAGAGAAAATATCAAAAAGTCAGGGTGCGGCCTTTGCGGCAAAAGAGTAAAAAAAAATAAAAAATTGCAAGTCAAAAACAAGAATTTGAACACATCCATGTAGGACGTACAACAATGAAAGGTGATGGACATTTCTAGAATAACTGTCTAGAGTACATGTATCACATGTCATACCGACAATTAAATGTTATATTTTTTAAATGAAGGGCAAAGTTTTGTCAATCTCGTAAATAAAATTCATAACTTACCAACCAAACTCTACTGGTAGATCTAGATTTTAGTTTTTGCCATAGCTAAAGCAACCTCAATCCTCTCGCTCGCGCGAGCAAAGCCAAGGCGCAATACACAAGAGAAAGCTGCAAGAGATAGCATCAGGGCCGGGATGGCCGAGCGGTCTAAGGCGGTGATTTGCATCACATCTACATTTGTAGGGGAGGGTTCATATCCCGCCCCTGACATTTTTTTTTTCATTTTTTTTTGTTGTTGTTAATGTCAAAATTGAGGGTGCGGCCTATGTGGCGCTGCGACATTATCACCGGCAAATACATTAGGCGCTTGTTCAGAAACCTTTCCAAAATTTGACCCGTAACTCCGGCGTGGAGATACCCTACTAAAACATATTCCTGCTAAAACCCAAACGCATGTATTCATTTTAACACACATTTCAATGGGATTTCGGTGACTTTGTCATGAAACGATGCCCGGCCATGTTGTTTTGAGAGCAAGCATTTATAGTGATTTACGATCCACTTTCAAGCAATAACCGCCAGTTTTGGCCTGACTTTCCGAAAACCACATTCCAGAGGTTGCATTCTTTAATCAGGTTTATTGATGTGTGTTTATAATTAATTATGGCAACCTCTTGACTTCAAGAACTTCATGTGAGAAAAACCCAGCAATTTTGTTTAGATCTAGCCTACAGTCACCCCATACATCCTGGCATGGATCATCATCATAGACAGGGCAATGCATTGACCGGTCGCGACCAGGGGCAGGGCAGGAGCGGCGATCCCGCGAGGGAGACGGGGGGATCGTGCCCCCAAAATTTTTTGAAAAAGTGCACTAAAAATATATAACAAATAGGCCTACATCTACTGACTAAGTCAACGACTGCAACACGACGCCTTTGGGTCGCGTCGGCCGTCGGAGCTCCCTGCCCGGCTTCCTGGCCTGGGTTTCCTCCCCCTCGCTCGCCTGGCGTTGGCCTCGCTTCCGGTGCTATCCAAAACGGAAGCGAATAATTAATTTTAGAACTAGATCTAGGTCTATAATATCGATCTAAATACTTACATTTACACTATCAATGAATAACATTTGATTTGTAAGCACATTACAATTATTCCTTTATTTAGGCTTTATTTGAATGGATACACTTACTTCAAATGGATCAGTTTCTTGCCCAAAGTCGAGTTTGACTCTCGTCAAATCATTCAGCTGTCCATACAATTTGAGCATAAGCATTACTTATGGCAAGCCAAACGTCCTATAATTCGAGAAGAAAAAAAAACTCTATGACAGTCATATTTGTCTCAACTTTCACTGACCTGTTTTTTTTTTTTCTCATTTTCTGCTTTTATTAAAACCAACTTGATATCAGGGTGGACTTCCCCGTGGCGAATCTAGTGAGGGGGTAGGGGCCCGGTGGATCTGGCAAAAAGAAAAATAGGGGATCGAGTGGGGACATAAAATAAAAATAAAAAAAACTAGAAATTTAATTCGTCATGGGGACGAATTAGGTGGTCTGTTTTCAATTTTATGATCATTGAAAAGTCAAAAAAGAAAAAAAAAAAGAAAAGAAAAAAATTGTTGGAGACTCCCGGACTCGAACCAGGGACCTCGAGGTCGGAAGTCAAGTGCGTTACCGATATGCCAAAACATTTCCCATAGAGATTACACGTAAACGGAAAATAGAATTCACAAATCCCACTTTATAAGTGAAATATGAGCATGATCCCGGCATCTGATCGAAAAATAAAGGGCACACTCGTGATAGCTCATTCTCTCAGCTACATCATACTCAAAGCTCAGCATAAACAAAGATAAAACGATGGAGATATTGCTCGCGAAAGACGAGAATGTAGAATCCAGTTTTGAGAAAAAGTCATGTCTCATAGAGAATACACGCAAAATGTGAAAAATTGACATGCCTGCTTTAATCGCAAAAAATACGCCATGATGCCCTTGTCAAAATGAAATATCGTGAAACTGCATTTGTAGACAATATTCTCAGGTAGAACATATCAAAATTTGAAAGAAAATGAATTAATATTTACAGAGATACAATCAATTTTATAAAAATATGTTGACGTCATAATATGCAAATTGAAATTTTGAGTTCGGAGGCCATTATGATGGCGTCATGAGTTAATTGAGGGTCAAATGACACATGAAATCATATCTCCAACTCATGTTTTTTCCAACCATGATATAAAAGTTGGGGTCAATTGACTATCTGAAGAGCTATTTTGATTTTTAAAATGGGATGTTTTTGATCAAATTTGCATTATAGTGCCCATAGCAGCACGCGCGGATTTTGAACTTTGACGCGCGCTCACGGCCTTATGAAAGGTCAAGAGTGACTGAAATTAATGTAAATTGTCATTTACGGTAAGAGGAATATAAATCATGTAAAACAAATGAATTTGACCTTTTCCGCGCGTTGTGAGCGCGCGCAACGCGCGCGGGGACACTTACGGACGGAAAATGTTGAAATGCTTAAAATGACCTGATTCGTACTCTCCTTTGATAGTTAAGTGATTTTGAGCATTTTAATATTTTGACGCACGCGTACGCGCGCGTCGTGAACTTTATGTGACCTTTGATGACATGACCTGTTGACCCTTGACCTGAAGTATATGTGATATGAATATGAATGACCTTTGCTTATGCATCACGAAGATATGATGGATAACGTGATTTCACAAAATGGCGCCTGGATGACGTCACGATAACCTGATGACCTTGAAAATGTTCCTGTCACGTCTCATGACAATGACCTATGACTGTGTCAAAATTGAAAGAAATTAAAACAACCAATCTTGAGTTAACCGATAAACAAAAAACGGGAAGAAATAAAAACTAGAAATTGAATTCGTCATGGTGACGAATTAGGTGGTCTGTTTTCAATTTTATGATCATTGAAAAGTCAAAAAAGAAAAAAAAATGAAGAAAAAAAATTGTTGGAGACGCCCGGACTCGAACCAGGGACCTCGAGGTCAGAAGTCAAGTGCGTTACCGATATACCGAAACATTTTCTATTGAGAATACACGTAAACGGAAAATGGAATTCTCAAATCCCTCTTTGCAAGTGAGATATGAGCATGATCCCGGCATCTGATCGATAAATAAAGGGCACACTTGTGATAGCTTATTGTCTCAGCTACAACATACTCAAAGCTCAGCGTAAACAAAGATAAAACGACGGAGATATTGCTCCCGAAAGACGAGCATGTAGAATCCAGTTTTGAGAAAAAGTCATGTCCCATAGAGAATACACGCAAAATGTGAAAAATTGACATGCCTCCTTTAATCGCGAAAATACGCCATGATGCCCTTGTCAAAATGAAATATCGTGGTGACTGCATTTGTAGACAATATTCTCAGGTAGAACATATCAAAATTTGGAAGAAAATTAATCAATATTTACAAAGATACAATCAATTTTCCAAAAATATGATGACGTCATAATATGCAAATTGAAATTTTGAGTTCGGAGGCCATTATGATGACGTCATGAGTCAATTGAGGGTCAAATGAGACATGGAATCGTATCTCCAACTCATGCTTTTTCTAACCATGATATAAAAGTTGGGGTCAATGGACTATCTGAAGAGCTATTATGATTTTTAAAATGGCATGTTTTTGATCAAATTTGCATTATATTGCCCATAGCAGCACGCGCGGATTTTGAACTTTGACACGCGCTCACGGCCTTATGAAAGGTCAAGGGTGACTGAAAAAAAATGTAAATTGTCATTTACGGTAAGAGGAATCTAAATCATGTAAACATTTTGAATTTGACCTTTTCCGCGCGCTATGAGCGCGCGCAACGCGCGCGGGGACACTTACGGACGGAAAATTTTGAAATGCTTAAAATGACCTGATTCGTACTCTTCTTTAATAGTTAAGTGATTTTGAGCATTTGTAAATTTTGACGCACGCGTACGTGCGCGTCGTGACCTTTATGTGACCTTTGATGACATGACCTGTTGACCCTTGACCTGAAGTATATGTGATATGAATATTAATGACCTTTGCTTATGCATCATGAAGATATGATGGATAACGTGATTTCACAAAATGGCGCCTGGATGACGTCACGATGACCTGATGACCTTGAAAATGTTCCTGTCACGTCTCATGACAATGATCTATAACTGTGTTAAAATTGAAAGAAATTAACATAACCGATCTTGAGTTAACCGATAAACAAAAAACGGGAAGAAATAAAAATAAATAATAAACTAGAAATTTAATTCGTCATGGGGACGAATTAGGTGGTCTGTCTTAGTCTTATGATAGATTATAATATTTACTATATTGAGAAAGGGAGAAGTTATATAGACATGT